ATACTTTGTCCGAGGCAGGATTACTAAAACCACAGACTGACGGATCAGGAAAATTCACACCAGGTTATGAAAGACAATACGACAGTAATTGCAAAGCAAGTGTGGGGTCTCACGAGCAGAGCTAGAACCAACAACCACCCACAGAATGTTTAAGACACGCTAATCTATAAAAATATCCTGGAATCACTGAAGGAAATATCACACACGACAAATAAAGGTCCGAATTACGTCCGCACCTGATGTTTAAAAGGCTCGAGTTGGTCCACACAACAAAACCAAGCAAAACACACAGCGGTCTCAAGCTAAATATAGCTCATCATAGGTGTATAAACATCCAGTGGGAGGAGAACTCGTTGTGTAGACAATGAAACCACATGGAGCCAGTCGGGCTCTGCAGAGCTCCCATCATGCAAAGAACAATATCCACTTTAGAGATGGGCGTATTTTATTTTTTGTAGAATTAAGAGAGATTAATGCTTAAGAGCAGCACAACTCTAAAAACATCAGCATTAGCAGAGCCCCCCCGGTCTTGAACACATTAGAGAGACTGACATGAACTCTGCTGTGCACTTAAAGGCAGTTAAATAAAGTGGGAACTCTCAGCTTCTTCAATCTCCAAAAAACATCTGTGATAAAGCCTCAAATGGGCCATCTGCTCAGAGATAGCAGAGGCAATAACACTCCTGTGGATCCGACACAGCCACCGCCGAACTACTGATTGCTTTCAGCCACACTTCTTCTTCGTCTGTTTTCTGTCGGAGTACCTGCTAGAAGGTGTAAACACTATCGGAGTGGGTCATCTAAATGCTGCGAGAGGTTTGGCTGAGACTCGTGTTTGGTGGAAAGATCTGGGACAACGATTGCAAACAGTAGGCTAGTCACAATAATTATCGACTTATTGTACGATGTATGGATCTTTTTATTACTTTATTGACTTATCATGGGATGGAAATTACCTCATTTTTACATTAACGACTTATCGTAGGATATATGGACATGACCTTGAAAATGGATGTAAATGGATGGCGTTGATATTTTTTGCGTTATTGACTTATTGAAGGATATATGGACATGACCAAAATAATTTTTACATTATTGACTTATCGTACTATATGTGGACATGCTCTCGATCATTTGTACGTTAAAGACTTATCGTACGATATATAGACATAGCCTTGATCATTTTTACGATAAAGACTTATCATACAATATATGGACATGCTCTCGATCATTTTTATGATAAACACTTATCGTATGATATACGGACATGACGGAGATCATTTTTACATTATCGACTCTTTCACAAATCCTTTTTGCTAACCTTAATATTGCCCGTTGTGTTTGTTTACAAAATAATATCACCAACATTTTAGCCAACATAATGTCAGTATAAACAGCAGCACTGTAAGACTTGTGCATTGTGCAGACATTGAATATTCTTAAGAGTTAATTGCCCTTTAAAAAGGGTGTACATGCGTTATTATTACATTTTCATTATATCAGTGGCAAAAATCTGGACTTAAAATCGCAATTATTTCTATTAAAAAGTATCATCCAATCAAAGTAGTTATCGTGACCTCAACCTCTGCTCCATCATCATACTCTTAACTCTTTCTTATGGACGATGTGAGAGGCTGAGCTTGTTGCTGCAGCATCGAGCACACAATACGAAACATTTCATCCGGCCACAGAGACAACGCAGCTGTGGTTGATCTTCAGAACGGTGATGGTGACATGCATTTGTGGGTGTATTTTAGGGATCTGGTTGACGTGCCCCAGACTTCAGGCATCCGAGGGTCGGTGCAACCTGCCCCCCCGCGCTGTGCTCACATTATCTGCTACAGCACACACTGTCTAAACAGCCCCGACTAGAGAGATCCAAGACTGGTTCCATTACAACAGAACCTCCCACCTAGCTGAGAACAGAACGCTGGATTTGTAAGCCTGTTCATGAACTCAACGCGGCCAGACATGCTGCGTGACAGCTCCCGCCACAAAACTCTTCTTCTAAGTCAAAGCCTTTTCCCCCTGCAGCCACATGAAGGGGCAAAGCGAGAGTGGAACACATGATGGAGGACTAATCCCTGCCATGTTCAACAAGCCCTCACCGCAGGCGCCCAACACGTGCGTCTGCACAGCCAAGACCAGAGGCAGGAATCGCTGAACCCACTGGCAGCTAATGCTGGTCATGTGGGGGGGGGGGGGGCTGGCTGGTGAGTGTGTGTTTGGCCAGGTGGGAAAATTGTGGTTGTATTGTGGTTGTGTCAGTGGGAGGGATGGGCTCCATTTTGAATTAATTCTCCTCCAAACAAACTACCTCAAAAGATTTGATGAGGGATTCTGAACTGAATTCAGAATTGTTGAAGTCATGAGAACCCCAGATAAATACTCCATGGGGAGGTGAAAATATTAAACTCTTTTTATTTGAATGATGCGTTAACCATGCGGTCCGAGACCCCCTGATTGAGACTTCAGACCCCCTGAAAGCCTCAATAGCTAAATTAGACGGCCTCTAAAATCATAAGACAATTATTTATCTCTTGCATTTGTCACTAAAATGTCTTTTAAAAGCTTACCATTTGCCCAGCAGCTTTTATTATGCAAAGTGCAAAACATTTATTCAGGTTTTGGCACTTCCTGTTTGGCTTCATTTCACAGCAGCAGAGGTTGTCGCTTCCTGTGTATGTACAGTTTATATGTATTTATGTGCATAGGTATATGTATGTTTATGTATACTGAATGCATACGTTTCATTATTTACCTCCTGAAATAGTCCGTAATATTGCTTATGTTGTAAATTTCCTCACCTTAGAAAGAACTTTGTGCTTATGGCTTAAAAAGTGCCCCAATAAATAAAAAATATTGTTATTATTAATTATAATTATTGTTATTATTATTATTAGTTGTGCACTAAAACTTAGAGTGAAACATGCACATAAAATGGAAGCTATGTCTCTAGAGGTAATGGATGGATTAATGAATAAGAGAAACCAAACATGAGGTCCTGTGCTATAAACTAAGTGTGTTTGATTGTGACTCAGGTCATCAGAGACACTCACTGGGTCTGAGCGAGGCAGCCGGGGGCCACGGTGGTCTGGGAGTGAGGGGTTCGCTGCAGGCTCGTGAGCGCCAGCATGTCCACCTGGACGTCCGTCACATGACCAGGTAAAGGTTTGAGCACAGTCAGAATCTTCTCCACCAGGTTGTCGCCATGATGACCAACAGCTCCTGAGAAAACAAAGACTTCTATTCAGTATGTGGTGTGACGAGACGTAGAGAAGTTTGTTTAAAACAAGACCTGGCATTCCAATTAACCCTAAAGACATTAGCGCTAAATTAAAATGTAATAATAAATCTTACACATAGACATCTTAAATTGTATCAGAATGTTCTTGTAATTTATAAATGATTTGATGCAATGTGGTCCAAACAGGGAGGAGGTTACCTGTAAGATCCATTGTTCGGTCCACAAAGATGATGGATGCTTTATTCTGGGCTGTCTTCCTCCTGTTCTTCGATTGAGGGTGACTGGCCAGTTCGCCCGCTATGATGCGGCTCATTGGACCCACAGCGAAGCTCTCCTCCCTGGTGTTCGTCGCCTCGAACAGCGAACTCAGCGCCGAAGCCAAGGATTTGATCTCCAACTGCAGCTCCACGGGGAGCGCGTGCACGTCTACGTCGACCAGGCTGCCGAACTTCTTCTTCTCCGGTCGTTTCGCGTTGATGACCTCCAGGTCAGGTGCGAGCAAAGGGAACAGGTGCGCGAAGGCTGGCGCGAGGAGGAGCTGCTTGTGCGAGACCGGGGCGAACACCAACGGCGCATGCGCGACCTCCGCCGTGTAGTTCATGTTGCCCATCCATTCGCACAGCTTCTCCTCGAACTGCTCGAACACGGGGCTGCCGTCCGGTTCCGCGGCGACGCCGTTGGCGAACAGGTGCACCGAGTGAGAGACGGCGGTGAAGACGACGCAGTACCGGAAGTGACTGAGCGACACGATGTCTTTGATGGTGTCCACCGTGCGACCCTTCAGCAAAGTGCTCACCACGAACACGGCCTTCGGTTCGTTCTCCCCGCACGCTTCGAAGCTGGAGAACTCCTTTAAGTTCCGGGCTCCAGCCTCCAGTAAGCGGGCAGCGCCTCCGCACCAGTGCAGAGCCTCCGCGCACCGGTCGTCCATGAAAACAACGGCTTTCTTCACCTTCGACAGCACTACTTTCTCCCACACGTTGACCGGAAAGAGCGTGAAGTCCTCCGCGCTCGACATTTTTTTGAATTTTAATTGTCAGCCCGTCTAAAGACGCATCAGAGCTGACAGCTAAAAGGAAGACAGCTGGCAAAACAAACGCACGAGTCCCCTGCAGGTGACGTGGCAAACGCGCGTCGCAGCATAAATACGTCACGTAAAGCGCTGACTCGTTGCTATGGCGAATATAACCAGCAATCAGAGAACGACTCGCTGGAAGCGTTAATGGAGTTACATACTAATTTAATATTGATACAGCCTTTATTATTCACTGACATCACCAGCAACGACATGTTCATGACTGAAAATAAAAATATATAAAAACGGAAAATATGTCTTTTGATGTTGATATTTGTATTTAATATTATTACAGAGCCTTTATTATTCACTGACGACATTTTAAAGGCTGAAAATAAAAAAATAAATATTTTAAAAACAGAAAATGTGTCTTCTGATATCAGCAGTTGATTACAGTTGGTGGTCCCTTGTCTCCATAGAAACTTCTTGAACTGTCAATTTAACTGATCCTAATGGAGAGAAGCCCGCCGGCTAATTATTATTAATTTTCTTTTTATTAATTCTGGTGTGTTTTTTGTTTAAAAATACCTTTTCTATATTCAAATGTGTTCATCGGAGTCTGACTCTGAAGTTTCCTTCGAAGAGGACGAGGAGGGAAAATTATATCAGTGTAAGTTTAAACAAACATGCATTTAGGCATAAACTATATTGTGATTAACCAGTGGTGGAGGAAGTAGACACATCCTTAATTAAAGTCAACTTAAATTAAGTAAAAGTAGAAATACCTCACTTTAAAGAATACTCCATTACAAGGGAAAGCTCAAAATGTTACTCAAGGAAGTTCTTTCAAAGTGTTATATTATCACAGAATATAATATATTATTATGTTTTTTTTATCATTAACAAGTAACTTACATGTAAGATTATTTTAAAGTTGTGATACTGCATGCTGGAGTAGATTTATACAAAGTAGCATTCAATTAGAAAAACTCAAATCAACACTGTACTTAAGTAGAGAACTTTATTACATCCCACCAATGATTTATTACAAAGATCATAACTGATAATAATGTTAGCAATACTTAAGTTAAAGGGTCAAATCAGGCCAATAACGTTTGGTTTATTTGGTGTGTGTGTGTGTGTGTGTGTGTGTGTGTGTGTGTGTGTGTGTGTGTTTCAGTGATTTTTGAACTGAGCATCGTAGATAACAAGGAGGAAAATGCGGAGGTTCAAATCCCATCCAGGTGTGTGTACTCTGTGTGAACTCTGTGTGTACTCTGTGTGTAATGTGTATGCTGTATTTGTTACCAGTGTTGTAGAGTAAGGAGATACTTGTACTTTACTTGAGTATCTCCATTTTCTGCTACTTCATACTTCTAATTCACCACATAATAATGTACATATCAACTATCGCCCAATAATATACAATACTTTTTCTTTTGGTACTTTAATTACATTTTGATGTTAATTCTTCTGTATTTTTACTTAAGTAAAAGTGGAACATATGACTTTACTTATAAGTATTTCTATATAATATTATATTTAATATTTTTTACTTATTTGTATTGCTTTTCCTGTATCTATAAATGCTGCTGCAGCGAAAGAAATGTCCCGTTGCAGGATAAATAAAGTAAATACCCATCTATCTATCTATCTATCTACCTTCTACACTGTTGATACTTTTACTTAAGTTAAAGATCTGAGTACTCACCACTGATCCATGATGGTTCTTTAACTTTTCATATTTAAAAGTAATATTACAGGCGCGACGCTGCATTTGAATACAATATGTTCTGGAAAATATAGATATGATACTGTATATTTGAGACTGTTGTGTTTTATATGGTGCTCATTGGATTCTTCAATGCCTCTCTTACTGTGTTGTGAGGATTCAGAGGTTTAAAACAGGTTAGACACACCTTCATAGGACAGAGCCAACACAACCCTCAGACATGAGAATACACTTTTCAAATGATGTGTATGTGTGAGCTGATGGGAGACGGTGTCTGTGCTCTGCATTCACCAGCTTCAGAGTAAATGTGGCGTAAAAACCTGACAATTACAGTAAGTCACCGTAAACCAAAGCTTCAACAATAGTCTTGTTTTTGTGTTTGTGTGAGTTTGTTGTTGTTTTTTGCATTTGTGACTTAAAGCCCAGAAGATTAGAAGGAGCCACCTCGTTGTTTTTGTAAAGCTAAGATTACATAAAGATGTTTTATAATTACGTCTGAACAATCTGTGGCCACTCAGCCTGATCTTAACAAGAAACGTCTGACGAAGCACTGAGCTATGAATAGCTTCAGTCTCTTTATTATCGACACACAACGGCTGTCAAATAAACAGCGTTTTTGATGTGCGAGTGGATCTTATTGTTTTTACTATTGTTTCCATGTGTTCCTCTGGGTCTGTGGGGTAATGTGAAAGCACGACAGCTCTGATGAATGCACTGATTTATTTGCAGCATCTTAGAATTCAGCGGTTTGTTTTCCATCTTCTGAGAAAAACAACGTTGAATATTTTCAGCCTCTCACTGTGTTTGTTCGCCTGTTGGGTATAAATACGAATGTGCGTCATTTGTCAGGAACCCACTTCTGTCAAGATGTAGCTCTGAGATATTTATTCTTTGTGATGTATTGTAGTGTTGCATGGTGCCATTTAAGAAATGAGGTTATTAGAGCTCCACTCAGTGCTCACGTTAGTGTCACGATGATGGAGATGATCGCGTCGGTAATGTTCTTGCAGCTCCAGGAACTCACCTGTGCAGGTCGATGCTGAGAGGAGAGAGGCAGTTGGTGAGTCAGTGCTCCATGCAGTCTGCCGCTATAAGGGTCTGGGGGTGACCCACAGCTGGATCAATCAGTCACAATAGGAATTTTAAAAAACGACACATAAATCAGCTTAAAAAAATAAATAAATGACTCAATAGAATTCTATGTGGATGACTACAGAATGAAACAATAACCCGTTCTGGAGCTCCCTGACGGGCCTCGATCCTGCTTCACCGCCAGTGGACGGAGCGGCGCTCCCTGTGACTTTATTATTATTGATATTATTATTGTTGTTGTTGTTATTGTTATTGGTAGCAGCTTTAGTGGCGGTTAAAGGTAGGAGTAGGATTAGTATTAATGCTCATTTTTAAATTTGATTTATGTGTTTTAGTTATTTATTTCTGCTTATTATTGTCATTATTGTTATCATTATTATAATATTATTATAATTTGTATAATAATAACAATAATAATATATATATATATTTTACTTTCCCAGCCATCCACCCTAGAAATTCCACCCCAGACTGGTTGTTTAGGACAAAAACACAAACACACACACATGCACACACACACCAACATCAAATCAACATAACACACAACATACACAACATTTTTCTCTTGTTCTGTATTGTTGATTTCTGAGTCTGGCCTGTATTCAGTGTTTTGTTCTTTGTCTTGCAATAGAAATACAAATAAGGGAGAAAACGTCACAGAACACAAAACACAGACGACGGAGAGGAACCAGGAAGTCATCGGGTAAATAACTGAGCAGCATTCAGCCTCCAGAAACACAAAGGTCATCTTTATTTCTGTTAAAAAAGATGATTTTAGCCTCTTCATAAAACAACAAGTAGACGGTCACCAGTTGACCTCTTCACGACGACAATATGGCTTCATGACAGCACATCCTTCCTTTATCTAAAAGTGACGGACTAATAATCCTGAAGACCTCGGTGATTGTGAGCTTTGAATGCTGTCAAATGCTTCACAGTTAATGAGAAGACAAAGTTACTGGACATGGACACGCTGGACAACATCCAACAAAGCCCAGTGAAGAGGTGCCCGAAGGAGAAGCTGTGGAGGAAACCTGGTGAGATGTCGTCTCTGGTTATTCTTTCCATTCTTCTCCCTCGTGTGTTCAACTTGTCGCCGATTGTTTGTCACTATTTCTACTTTTAGGTGCCAAGATCTCAGATTACTTTAACTATGGTTTCAATGAAGAAAGCTGGAACGCCTACTGCAGGAAACAGGGGAGAGTCTGTGCAGCTAATAGGGTGAACAGTAACATCCCGGTAAGATGTCACTCGTGAATCCCAGCAGATAGTATCGCTCTCGGTTTAAGTAGAGATGAATGACAGATGAGAAGGCAGAGGAGGAGTGTGATGCTGTTGTTGTTGTTGTTGTTGTTGTTGTTGTTCCGCTCAGGTCCAGAGGGGGCGCCCTACACAAAGAGAGAAAGCTGCTTCACCTGGCAGCTCGTCTCCAGCAGCCTCCAGGTGGGTCAACACGTCTCCGTGTGGTTGTCCTCTCAGCTCTTCATCACACATCCTCTTCTCTCTCTCGCTGTAGCTCAGAGAGCTCAGAGAGCGGAGAAGCTCAGCTGGCAGTGAGTGTTTGTTGGTCAGCCCGGTGCCATCTGTTTTATACTCTGATCCTAAGACGGGCTCAGCACATTAGGGTTGTATTGGCAAGAGATCCCAAAGTGTGGCGGTAAACAGAGACGCGTGTTCATCTGCTCGAGGCTGAAGAGAGAGTTTCATAGAAGGTGTTGAGTCACACGCAGAGTACTAGTTTATTTAAAATCATCACCAATCATCATTGTTTGACAGTTCATATTTTTCTCTGACTTAAATATCCTTCATTATTTATTATTATATATATATATATATATTATTATTTTTAAAATTCTTTTACAATTTCATTTATTTTCCGTCAACAACATCTTGCCACCACTTTGCACTCACCGTGACGGAAAGTAAAGTACTTTTACTCAAGTACAGAGTATTGCAATTCTGTTATGCTACGTGATACTTCTACTCAACTACAGGGAAATATTGAAGATTAAAGATTAAAATATCACCTTGACCAGTTAAAACATGGAAATACTGCTCCCGTGTAGTACTGATCGATGTACTTTCACTGCGTTACATTTACATCGGAAGTCAGAAATAGAAGCTGCTCATGACTGTGGTTCAACACAACAAGTCTGAAAAGTTATCAACAGTTAATATGAATGCATTATGCTTTATTCTGCAGATAGTTGGACAGTACTGAATGATTTAATGAGACAGTATCTGCTCGTGTTCACTGCTCTCTTGTTGCTCTTGTTCGTGTTTTGTCCTGCAATTAACACAATAAACTAAATAAAATGACACAAATGAGACAGAAGTGCTACTAAACTGTCCTACCACGGTATTATGTTTGGATTTCCTGGTTCGGTTTGATTCGGTTCTCCTGATTCTCCGACTTCAGGAGGCATTCTAGTTGAAATGACCGACTTTGTGTGTAACAGAGTATAAAGAGTAATACAGTAACAGTGAATGGGTCAGCAGCACACATAAGAGTTGTG